TTTTTAATAAGGAAAACATTTTTTCGGTTGTGGAAATTTTTGGATTTTGTGTAAGGTTCTGCACCTCTGTGCATGACAAAAATTTCTCACATGGATATAGAGTCTTTTCGTACAGTAAAAGCCATAACTTTTGAATTAACAAATATATTTTAACTTACGACTACATTTCACGTCAACGCATCGTTTTCGTAGTAATCAGTTTGATTATGTAAGCTTCAAAACAGTCTGTTTGTGACAAAAACTGAATTTCTAAACGGTAAATACCATCGCTACACATCTGACATAAAATTTTTGCTCTTACTTAAGATAAGCCTATGAAAACGGAGAGAGTCGTAGTAAAGGCTAAAAGTTCGTTTTGTTCTTTTATAATTTTATAACTATAGTCTTCAACGAGGAGCCGAGGAAACAAGAATAAATCCTTAGCGGTATTTATGTTTCTTCTTTTGAATTTAGAACTATCCACATCATCACATGAAATCAAAAGTGCTGAAAATATGCCTCTTCCTGACGTTGTCATTCCAACTCTGGGCGAAAATGTTCCATCAGAACAACAACAACCACCACTTATAACAGTTCCATCATTAGAAGAACAAGGTGATGATAACACCAAACAATCTGCCTACGACCATATTGAAATAATTCGTCGTGGTTTTGGTGAAAACAGTGGTTTCGATTCATCCGGTCAACAAATAGTCTCGAATCTTCAAGGAATGATCGGACGAAGTTTAAAGAAACTCTCAAATGATCTTTACTCTAACCAATCACATTTTGTCCTAGAGCTTATTCAAAATGCTGATGATAATCAATACTCATTATCAACTCAATTACCCACACTTCGTTTTGTTGTTACTCAACAACAAATTACCATTCTCAACAACGAAATTGGTTTTAAACCCGAAGATATTGCTGCTTTGTGTAACATTGGTAAGCTACCTAAAGAGTCATCAAATTTAATAAGAAATATATTTTAGTAAGAAAAATATAGGCAGTCATTAAAATTCAATTTTTGTACCTAAAACACTTGAAAATGAGTTACGAATTTTGTTATGGATTTCACCTCTATAACCAAACATGTTTTCCCAACATCGCTGGTGAATGTACAGATGGAAATCTCTGGTTTTTTTTCCAAACTAAAAGACAATTTTCGTTAAGAAACAAGCTATTTTTCTATCCAACAACATAATCTTTGCAAAGTCTTAAAAACTATACTATAGGAACGTTAAATAGAAACATTTACGTTTTTTCCATCTTTGAGCTTATTGTTGCAGCTTAAAACTCAAGAAAAAAAGACGATTTTTTTAACAGACACCTTTTCTCTTCTTTTGAGTCCACAGTGAAGTTTTTGATCAATTATTTTATACGATGGGCGCTGCTTTTCCTCTTCTGATTGCAACTTTTCTTATTTAATTTTACTAGACGGCCTGTCCAATCGTGGCGGAATCACGTTTTTTCATTTTAAATTTAATTTTTCTCAATCATTTTAAAAGATTAAGAGTCGACATTTTTTCTACATGTATGTGGCCATGTTCTATTTTCGATCCGAGCCACAAATGGAACAAAGAAAGAACTCACTTTCACCCCGAATAAAAATGAAATAACTCATCAGTGCGCTGTTCTTTTTTACTTTTATGCATTATTGACTATCCTCTACAACATAGTAGTGTTACTTTTAGCCGCATTTGCGCTTCAACTTTGACATAAAAGTCTACCATTACTTGGATTAGTCGTAGACGTGAAGTTATGATGCCAAAAATCAGTTGTATGCAGAATTTATTGCTTTTCTATTTTTTTAATGGAACATTATCCATCCTAAAATATGGACTCATACACAGACATGTGCACCGCCGCGCCGATTCGCCGCCGCCGCTAACAGTTGAGAAAAACTGTTCTGACTTCCGCCGCCGCCGCCATGTCGTTAAACTTTTTTCGCCGGCGAGGACGGAAAAAATTTTTTTCCGAAAATTTTGACTATTTTTGTTACTACGTTCTTACCTTAGGCATGTAGCGTGCAGGGCGTTTCTATCTTTTCGTATACGGCAACGTACAGTACGCGAAGAACGTGCCAGAAATGAAAGAGAACGTTGTTTTACTTAAATTATGAGATTCGTCGCCGATAACTAATATTTACACGCCGCCGCCGAAAGCGGAGGAAGTTTTCATAACCTCGCGCCGCCGCCGCCG